GAAACACATCTTTTGATGCTAGCAAGGCCGTTTTCTGTCTAGCCAAAAGGAAGCCCTTCTGCTTAGCCAAAAAGACCCAAACATCCCTTTTTAAGTGCGGGACTACGCTGCAGCTCCAGTGTTTCAGATGTTCGGGAATGCGCAAAAGTTACTGATCCAATAAATCTTCCGAATAAGTGAACCGTTTTGCTCTCTGGTCAAACAAACTTCTTTTTCCCCAACAAAGAAATAAATTTACCTTAAGACTCAAACGTTACCACACAAGGCAAAAAAATCCCTGACAGTCAAATATTTTGCCTCATTAAGCGAATAAGGTCAAGCAACAATTTGATTTCCTTAGTGAAGGTGTGGCATCCTCGACGAGGTGGGTGTGACTAAATTTTCATGTGAAACTGAAGACCTTTCTCTGTTCTTACTTTCACCATTATAGCATCGTAGTCTTATTTCCGTAACCTTATTCTAAATACGAGCTCAGTTTTAGCCCTTTACCTGTAAAATTATCAGCAGCATTTTCCAACGACAGTCCCACGGCCACTTTCAAAATGAAATTCTTGTCAGGGGCACCCAACGAACCTTTTTTTCTTTAAAATAACGTTTCGAAAGAGAAAATAATGCCGAGAATGGCTAAACTTTTCTGGATAAAAGTTACTTTCCTCAAAGATATTCGGTTGCATACGATTTTATTTATTTGGGAGGTTGTGTTTTTCACATTTATTACCAAGATATTGCGCGCGAGTATAGTTCACAAAGGTCTCCTGAAAATGTCGGTAAAAAGTCAAAACCTTCCGTAAAATCTTCTATTTAAGATACGGCTACCCCACGTCCTTAAACTTGCGACCGGACCCCTCAGGGTAGCTAACAGTTTCAGATGACACAAAAAGGCCACCCAAAACTTTCGAGAAAACCAAAGTCCCCCTGAGACATCCGAACAGATGAATAGTATATAGGGCACCTAGCCTGAAATTCATCCGATTACTTCAAGTCGTTTCCTCATCTCAACAACTGAGGGAGTAATAACGACTCGAAGTAATCGGATGAAATTCAGGTTATAGGGCACCTCTATTTTTTTCAAACAGGCTCATAAAACATTCAGTAGTTGGATGCCCTTAAAAGCTGAAGATACACTAGTCGCCCTAAATTTGATGCTGACTGGACACACAGGAAAATAACCTTAAATGATAACCCAAAGAATCGAGAACTAAGAAAAACAAAGGGAAAATAAGGTCGAGATGGGTGAGGGTAGTAAATTCATATTACACGCCGTTCATTTTATTTTAAAACCCATTTATTTATTGAAATCACCTTTAAAATATTACTCTGCTCATGGAAAGCGAAAAAAAAAACTTTGGCTCTGCTGTTATTAAGCCTGTGGGGGAGGTACTTCTTCTACGAGTATCCGGGACACTGAGTTCCAGCCTGTGTAAGCATCAGCAGATTTGTGACCACCACAATTACCGACCCAGAAGCCCACGCGAACATTACCCTTGTGGATTTTCTCACAGACTCCTTCGATGTGACGCACACGGTGTAAATCCTTTTTCCAGCTACTTCCATGTAACATGTATACCACTCCGTCAATGGGAGCCGGTGTTGAACACTCTGCACCGTTGAAAGTGAAATACCATCGTCTGCAGCATCCATGGCAGTTAGCGAGACGAAGAGTACCACTCCAAAAGACACGCAACCCAGTAGTGTCTGATGTTTTCTTGAAACTGCACTCCTTAAAAATCAACAGAGGAAGAAAGATCAGCAAGGTGAACCGAAATTAAACATCAGAAATAAACAATGATATTACCGTCCAGAAAAACGGACCTGAAAACCGTGGATTTCACTCGCACAATGCCTTCTTCATGTTAGGGTTTTCTTTTGCGGGACAATGAAGAGGCCATGTTTTGATCTTTTCATCCATTGGCTGATAAAACAAATAACGAACACTTACCGAAACCAATTTTCAAGGTCATACGAAAATCGGTCTATCAACTTCATAGGGACAGAGCCTGGGAACAAATTGTAATTGCCATAGTGGATTTTACTCAACTTGAGACCAAAAAATATATGTCTATCTTATAAACTTGTCGAAACTGGTAATGTCATTCGAATTTTTTCTCGCATGCCGTATCATTCCATCAAAACGGTCATAACCAGACTTACTAATTTGCTTCGGATTAATCTATATAATCTAGAACGACCAACTCAGTTGTTACCTTTATCAATCCAGAGTCCCTTCCATCGTTCAGATTCTTAAAAACGCATTGTTTCCAGTTACGAGCAAACGATCCTGGATCACCCTTTGGACCTGGAGGACCTTGGCTTCCACGAGCACCTGTATCACCCTTGTTTCCAGGGGAACCAGCTGAACCGGAAGGTCCTTGAGGTCCCTTGGGGCCAGGGGGACCTTGCTTTCCACGAGTATCTGTATCACCCTTGTTTCCAGGGGAACCAGCTGAACCTGCTTCACCTTTGTCACCACGTGGACCTGCCGGGCCTGCAGGTCCTTTAACTCCTTTGCTGCCTGGTGCTCCCTGTCTTCCACGGGCTCCTTCATCACCTTTGTTTCCTCGTGGGCCCATGGGTCCTTCAGGTCCATGATTAGCGGGTGATCCCGCGATACCTGCTGGTCCCGCGGGTCCAGGGCTTCCTGGGATGCCTGGAATTCCTGGTGCACAGAAACACCCACCATAACCACAGGAACCATAAGATGAAGTCTGTTGAGGAATACTCTAAATGAAAAATTTAAAAATTCATTCCGTTATAAATTCATGATCAATTGATTAAGTCAATCAATTAACCTTAGTCAAGCATCCTTAAATAAAAAATCACCGTTCATTCATTCTACCTCACTAAGTTCTTTCAGGTTAATAGTTCAGGTACCATTGACCGACTTTCACTTCTCATATATTACAGCTATATATTACAATGTTTGATTAAACAAACTCACCTTGTCACGTGGTTTGCTGCTATTGTTGTCATTTGCAGAACACAAGGTAATCAGCAGTAAGAGCAGCCCGCATAACACAGTAGCCAGCGGTATCTTTATTAAGGCTTGCATGATGAGGAAACCTGTGAAAACAGGAAAACGCTCAAAATTATGGCCGAATATCTTTAAAAAGGTATCGGTTTCAATGATTTGCTAAAAAAAAGAAAAAATTCAAAATGCAGATAACAAGCAACGCGAATTGATGATCTGTGGCAAAGTTACTATTTGTTTTGGAGAAAAAATATCAGTTTCGTCAGGTTTCATTCATCAATTTCAGGTCAGCTTTTAGTATTACTTGAAAACATTACCATGTCCTTGCAATTATATGTCAGACTTACACGGACGCTTAAAACTTTTGGACATTTCGTTGAAGCGTTCGCTTAAGATTTAGGCGCGAACCTAGTAGCAATAAGCCTTACATTTAAATATTTCGTGAAAAGAAACAGTTCAAATTGAAACCAAGTGAAAAGACTCCAAGCTATCGTTTAATTAAACTGAGTATATTAGTTTGATACGAAAGATTGTTGGAAACATTGACTCAAGTCCTACCTTACTTGTATGAACGACCGTAGTGATCCCAAGACGAATGATAATTTTTTTGAAAGTACGAAAGTTTTTATGCCCTAGTTTGACCAAGTTTACTTAAAAACGTGTTTTGGACAAGTTTGAAAGATTGTTAAATGTAAGTTACTATAAGTATTCTTATTGGTTTCATGTAAATCAGTCAGTCTTAATTGACGAATTGAAAGGAGTCATGTACTCCTTTTTTTTTTAAGTTGCAAGTTAAAACGAGTTGGAAGGCTCCATGACGTTAAGCAATTATTTCGAAAACCGGCCAATGATGAGAACTATGTAAACTTCCTTTGAGATACAAGTTAAACCAAGTTTGAAGGGCACTGACGTGATAATTTGACGAATGAAGACAATCATTCATGTTCTCTGCACATGTAACTTTTGGAAAACTTTGCATGCGACAAATTTGCCATTCAAAATATTTATCACTGTAACTTTTCCGAAGACGCTTTAGATGTTATTCAGTAAAAACCAGCCACTAAGAACCTGCATTTTCCCAATTTCGCCTAAACAGGTTCTTACATAAATCGTAATTAGCACAAATTTAGGCTATTTAGGTTCTTAAATAGGTTCTTCTGCTTATCTGAAAGAAAAACTACATTGTAGCTAAGAGTATTTAGTTGTATTCAGCTTATTCCTCACATAAAATCACTGCATACCAATACATTCCAGTTGGATTGATAAAGCACCTATGTCTCCAAACGGGATCCTGAATGTTGACTTTTTTATTTTTCAATCGTACAAAATGTTTTTAAAGCACTATTTTTAAATAAGAACCTGTTTCAAATTTTGGCTCAACAGGTTCTTGTCTAACTGGCCCAGGCAGTGAACTTCCCGAAAGATATCCTCGTTTCTTTCTCTCTTTATTTTTAATCTGACCTCTGACAATTTTGACTCCTTGAAGAAGCTCAGTTAATTCTGAAGAATACCCCTTTAGATGTTTGGCACAACTAAAACGAACTACTGCAACGCTTTTTTGATAGACTGAACATCATATCTTGACTAATTAACATGATGCACGGTTGTTAGCTTGAAAACATATGAAAAATCCGAAAAAAATTCTCCCTAAAGTGTGCAAGCACTGTACAAGTGAAAAATTTTAAACTGAANAACGAACTACTGCAACGCTTTTTTGATAGACTGAACATCATATCTTGACTAATTAACATGATGCACGGTTGTTAGCTTGAAAACATATGAAAAATCCGAAAAAAATTCTCCCTAAAGTGTGCAAGCACTGTACAAGTGAAAAATTTTAAACTGAATTCACTCTCGAGAGTAAAGCTAATACAACGAGAGGCTAACTTATTATCAGACCACGAGAGGCTTAGTTTTTGGAGGATTCATCAGTCTAAAATATTCGCCCTTTGACGAGTTTATTTCTAAAACATTTCATTTTCTAAAAAGGTCGACGGAGACTTTTTCAAAACCTCACACCAACACGGTTTATTATGAGGCATTCAACTTACCTCTAAGATTTCCAGTTGCACCACAGTTGTGACTGCAAAGTAAGAGAAAATAGGAAAATTGTGATTAATAAGTAAAATGTAACTTTTAAAGAATAAACGGCTAAGCAAAAATATACAAACCTACTCTGTTTTTGTTAATCTCTTAATTCTTGTCTTGTCTTCGTTTTCCCGACTATTTTGTGATCTTCATGAATCATCATTCTATGCTCGTAGGAACAGGTTAAGTGGACATTGTATACCTATGTTCCAACGAGCAATGTTATTGGCTGTAGTGTTTGTTTTGTCAGTCAGGGATTCATCCAATGAAATGGCATCATTACTGCGACCCACAGCATACATGAAGGGTAATCATAAATCTATTACCTCGGACTTGGAAAAAAGAGAAGAAAACTGGAGTCCCTGTTGTTGTAATATTTAGTTTCTTAATTAACACTAATACTGCACTCTCGTGGTCTCTTTACGACCGGAGGACGAATTCTATTGGAGATTATTAAATTTAATATCTTTCTGAATTTTCATATGGCGTCGTCACCAATCCAGAATTGGTTTGAGTCGCAAATTGATGGGTGAACACATTTTTCATACTGTCTATGTGAAAACGAAATGAAAGATGCGAAAGTCGTGGAACTTCTAAGATTTCTAAATCTTATTACACGTTCGCTCTCACTCAAGATCTGCTTCATAAGTCAGACATAACCCGAAATCTCTCTTTAACAACCCATCTATTGAAGATTTTTCGTGCTCGATGATATATATTTGCTGTCCTTTTTTTTTGGACGATTTTTCTTTTAATATTTCTTCAGTTTCTGACCCGTTCATTTTTCGTCTTACTTGGTTACGTACCTCTTCTTGGTTAAGAACGCAAATGTTTTGGGATGATGGTTTGAGTAAACTGACTGAGGAAAAAAGACTGCTAAAATGTATAGATTTTATGACCCATGGCTCTTTTTGTATCGATCGATCACTTTAATTTCTAGTCCCGATCAGAGATTCTCTGTCGCTATACGTCGAGTTTTGGAAACTGGGTTATATTTAATAGTTCAGTGTTTAACGACACTTTTCAGTATTTCATTTCTACTTTATCTTTGCTTGGACACGTGATCAACTCAGTCTTGATTGATATGTGCTAAGAAATTGTACATTTTTGTATTTCGAAGTTTAAAATTGAAAGTGTAAAATCGAAATGATATTGAAAGCGGAATCAGTAACTGATGCAAATGCGGTTTCTCATGGGCACCCAACGGACAGTTCCCTCCAAAATACAAACTTTTTAGGCAATCCAGAGTACTTTTAGATGTCTAGAAATGCATTCTAAGTGGCGCTATAAAATTTGAACCTGTTCCGTCACCCTAGGGGAACTTGTGTATTTCGAAATTACAGGGAATTAAGTATTAATTTCCCGAAAATCTTAGATGCAGTTTGACGTATTACGAAAGTGAGACATTTTCTGATTTCTCCAGCTCCCCTTTGAATTTTTGAGTCCGAAAATTTAAGGTTTCCTTTTCTCCACGAAAAGTGGCATAACTTGGGAAGTGAAATGTGAAAATTAAACTTTAGAAAATCGTAGGGAATTTATTAGATAAGTTTTGAAAATTATATATGAGTGGAACGGTCATCTAGAAAGTGTTAGCCGTCCTCAAGTAATAGAAAATTCTATAGGCAATATTTGCTTCTCCGAACAGATAATTCACAGAAAACAGTCGATAGGTGCTCCTGGTTTCTATGCGATTGCATTGAGACTAGCACAGAACCGACATTTTATATTAGCCTCCGTCGAAGTTTTAACATAATAAAACTATTGAATACATACCCTCCAGTAATCCATTTATCAAGGTTTTTTCTTCTAGGAGACAATTTATGGGTCAACCGTGAGCTCTTCACAACTGAGAGACGACAAGGAATGTTGAGCAAAAAAAGGATTCTTTCAAGCCATCTTGCTTTAATGTTGTTCAGAGCGAATGGTATAAAGTACAATAGAATCACGATTCTCGAACTCTCGATGTCTTGAAATTCCCCATATTTTTACCCCCGATCCTCAAAATGCCGGTAACTGGAACAAATTTGCTTTCCCATGCAAAGTGGTTTGAAAAATCGCGATTCCAGTGTAGAGCAATTTCCACCTTGTTTTCTTTGCATGTATAAATAAGGAAAGAGGGGTTTCAGAAGAGTAATTGGGCTAGGGAAGGGAGGGTTGGGAGGTGAGAAGCAAAGATGGGGTAACGGGTGGGGAGGGTGATGAGGGAATTTCTTTTTCTTTGTTCGATTTCTGTTTTATAGAAGCTTTATTATATAATGAAGAATGCCATTCTGAGAGAAGTCCAAGTTTACGACTAGGTCTTGAGCCGGATTGTACATAGTATATTTGGATTATTCAATATGTGTTTTAATTCTTTCTCTGACGCCAGTGAAATGCGCTCTTCTACGCATTCACTCCTCAGTTACCGCAACTTTGTTTTCTGTTAGCGCGAAACACAAGTTCAAGTAACTAATTAAAAACGATACTGACAATTTCAAACAGGACCCCTTGTTTAACTTTAGAGCAGCCAGTATACTTGTGTAATAAATTGTCGTCTCTGCCTGTCACGAGTGCTTTAGTGGGTCTATAGTATTCTCAATGTACACATGGCCAGTTCTTCACTTAAAGCCGTCTAAAAAAAATTCCCCAAAACGCGATGCTGTGTTCAGTCTTGCTCTTTACTAAGCTTTGAAAATGTCATCTTCTAAGTTAGTCACGGATACAAGGCATAACATGAATGAGTCGCGAGGTAGTTGAGCCTTTGTACAAAGTTTTCACATGGTAATAAAAAAATTTACTTAAAAAATCGGATGCGGAAATCATAGTCATGGTCTGTTTGTTTGAAAATTGAGCGTGTTGCTTGTTTACTTTGAAGTACTGATGTAAAATTTGCATTCTAGTAACATACACTGTAGGCAATACGTTACATAATAAATAGCACCTTTCGAATACTAGAAAAATGAAACTGTCTTTGCGGAAATATTTCTCTTGCCTACAGGATGTCTGCTTCTAACTTTGATACTAAAACCGAGGACCTCTGTTAGCCTACCGGAGTCTGGTCCCGTGCTCAAAATAAAGACTGTACTTTCAATTTGAAAAATTCAATTGAAATCTTGAGCTTTGTCATAATATAGGACCCTACTCTATTAACCATTAACCGAAACTGATATCCAGTTCCTCCATCTTAAAAAAATCCATGTAACTCTTAAACGTCTGATACAAGCATAAGTCTGAGCGCAATGATTTGTAACTACAAAGAAACTTCGCTGACAATTAGCTCAACTGTATTGATTGTATGATCGATACTTGTGATCAGACACTGTCAAAGGAGTCGAGACTAGAAGCTACTAGAAACGAAATGAACCTTAGGTGTTTATACAGTACGGTAGTAAATTAGGATAAAAAAACAACTGATTTCAACTCGTATTTCCTCGCGATCTTACACTTAGGCATTCCACGGCTTGGAGTGTGTTCAAATGTAGTCAGCTACTGCCTTGCCGAACTCAGTCACGCTACTCACGCCCAGGAAGGAATACATAAAAAATTGACTCCCGATAACTCGAACATCGCGCTATCTCGAACCAAAATCGATTCCCCTGGAATTTCGTCATACATTTACTGTAATTGTACCCTCGGAAACTCGAATCTCCCGCTAACTCGAAGTAGTTTTTGTTTCCCCTCAGATCATTTCTATGTAATCTCGAACCATGTTTTGAGCCATTAAAACCTTAAAAAGTCGGGAAAAAAAAATCTAATGGCGTTCGAAACATTGAATTTTGAATTTCCCATTGACGTGTTGTAGGCATGTTAAAGTTTATTAGTGGAGGCTGATGTTGCTTGTCACAAATCTAACGTGAAACAGCTTTACTTCTCAAAACAGTAAAACGCATGCTCTAATTTGGCTATTTGTTACGTTACATTCTGATTTATAATCAAGAAGTATCTTTTAATTTTCACTTGACATTTCTACAATTAAATGTGATTAAAATGTTCACTGTGAAGTAAAAACTGTTCTTTTCCTTGCTCCCAGCTATTTTCTTCGAGCTCCCGATAACTCGAATTCCCGATAACTCGAACTTTTTTCGATTTCCCTTGAAGGTTCGAGTCATCGGGAGTCCACTGTAGTAGTAGTAGAAATAAGTTATTGCCAACGAACAGCGTCGAGAAGACGCGAGGATGCGAGGGGCAGCCTAATAACGCCGGTGCGCGAAAGTTTCAAGGAAGAATGAATCTCGAATCGATGTAACTTTTTAACAATTGTTTGTATACCTGATTCCCATATGAAAATGACGGTGTTGCTCGTCTTCACTTTTAGGAGTAGAAATTTCAGATTTTGGTCTGACTTATGGTGTTCAGAAAGGAAAACGATTATTTTTAACCCATAAAAAATTGCTTAGGGTTGTGCATAAAGATTAAGCTAAATAAAAGTAGCAAATGCCGTCATAGGGTTGGAGCCATTGGAGTCAAATCCTGACTCGTCCCCAGTTGTCTCTCAGTCTTCTATTAGTATTAACGAGAGAAGCGTGGTAAAAGGAAGTGCGGAGGATAATGGGAAGGAGGAAAGAGACTTCATTTCCCCTTTCACCTTCCCATCGTCCCCCTCGCACCAGTACCGTAATAGTCTCCCGCAACCGTTCCTTGACCGCTTACAGAATAATAGGAGACGACTTAGGACGAGTCAGTGGTCAAATCAAGCTGGAGCCACACCCAATTAAGGGGCTTAATTCCAATTTTCCAACGTACGGGCACGGTTTTTTTGATACGACAATTTCCTCCCGGTAAATTTATCTTTCTGGATCTTCAGAGATATTCAGCTCTACTTTTCAAATTAAACGAAACAACTTTCTTCTTCGGAGATAAGTACTGTTGCTATGTAAATCTTCCTCTTAATTTCACAGCATCATCCTGGACCAGTCGAATTAAAACAATAGGTAGAGGCTGTTGACTGCTCTTACAATTCAAATGCTAGAACGCCAGCTAGTTCAAACACTCACAGTAACTAAGGTGCTGTTTATTTATCTCGAATCCAACAAACAGGTTTTTAGATAATAATTGGTCAAAAGGTGTTCCCTGATTGCTCTTTATCTAAATAAAAATAATGTTCTTGATAGAATTGTATTTTCGGCGGTATGTAAACTTGAAAGGTTCAGGTCGCAGTTGTTAAAAAAAGGGGGACAACGTTATAGTACTGGATAAGTCTCTATCCAGTGGATGACGTAGTTGGTTTTCCTAATACTTATTAGGGATTTGAAACTAAAAAAAATCTGACGTTTAAAGTGTAAGGCACTGGAGGAAATCCTTTCTCTTGGTCTAACATCATCTCACAATGAAATCAAATGTTTTTTTTGTGACATTCGGATTTCCTCGCTATGAGGAATGGAGGGGCTGGTACTACTTTTAAAATAAAGCACTTCCAAAGCATGTACTGCATTACGTGTTAATGTTTCTATCCAGAATAACTGCAAACTTATCGTAGGTTTTTGATAACCTATGTAGAGGAAATAAGAGCAATAGCACGAGAGCTGTAATCAAGGTAATAACACACACCTGGCTGTATTTCCCCCCTCACCCTTCGGGTCAGCCTCATTTTGTGGGGAGCAGTTAACCTCCTCTTCACATTCATTCCACCCGGGTGTGACGATGTTGATAAGCACACTTTTATTTATTCAAGAAAATATGCTACCTTTTGGCCCAAATCATGCAGCTACAACTGTATGAGAGGAAAAAAAATCAATATTTGGAAAGACGTCTCTCACTTCAACTTTTAATATTTCATAATTTGATGTGGACTGTTTAAAAAACGAGCAGGAGTGTATTATCAGGTTTAAAAACTCGAGGCGAAGCCAAGAATGTTTCAACCTGATAATACAAGACGGCGAGTTTTTCGAACGGCTTCAAAATCTCTGATACAGATCAACTCATTCTTGCACTAATATTTAGATTTGGGGTTATTTTAGCTTATAAAAATTGGACGTAAAGTTTAGTCGTGTCTTTACCAGATATAAAGACACTCATTAAACATTCATTTCTATTGGACCCTATTGCTTTTTCTTTATGAATAATTAATGAGTTTTCCAAAAATATTTAATCAGGGACTGGAAGTAACTATTAAAGCCAAGATAGAGCAAGACCTTACTCAGGTAGCAGTTGGCAAGCAGTCCAAACCACTAAAAGTAATGAAGCCTGCAGCAATGGGAGGTAAAAACAAGCCACCTAAGAAGAAGGGAGGTGGCAAAAAGAAGAAGTAACTTCATCATTTGAAGCTATGGCAATGCAACAAGTATGGAGCAAGATGCATATTAGCATGATTTGTGTATTTATCATAATCTATTCCTTTAAGCAGCAGATGTAGAATAGTATTGAACAACTTTTGTAACCAATTTTAACCTTTTGTATGTTCCTCATAATATTACCTCATGAGGTAATGAGAGTGGGAGGAATTCCTTACTACGTTTTAACACTTGGAGAACATATTTAATCACCCTGGCTTTATTTTTAAACTTGTTCTTATGGTCCATTCTCTTCCTCAATAGTCTTTGTAACACTACTAAAAGTACAAGCCCCAGTTGTTCAAAAGGTGAATAACGCCATCCACTGGATAAATCTCTATCCACTGGATAGTGCAATTGGTTTCCCTAACACTTTTTTGTGGGATAGTGATTTATTCAGTGGATAGCGCTATCCAACTTTTGAACAATTGAGGCCTGATGTATAACTTTTCAGGTTTAATCCTTGTGGCCTAATGGGTGGTAATGGAAACTTTCTGGAAAAGTGCATTCCCAGTTTAACTAAAGGCCTTGATACAAATTTGTTTGCTAACTAACCATCATTATTGAGTTCAAAAGATTGAACTAAATCAAAGACAGTGTTCACCTTCCCAATTACCCGTATATTCACCAATAAAATGGACTTCGAAACTAAATGATAAGCTTCTCATTTTCGATTGTTATTATCATTATTATCTTCATCATCGTCATCAGCATTATTTTCATTATTATTATTAACCCATTTGCAATTGGGAATTTTGCTGAAACATGTCTTTTGATGCTAGCCAAGCCGTTTTCTGTCTAGCCAAAAGGAAGCTCTTCTGCTTAGTCAAAAACACCCAAACATCCCTTTTTAAGTGCGGGACTATCAGGCTACAGTTCCAGTGTTCCAGATGCTAAATTGTAGCTTTTAAAGTTCGGGAATGCGCAAAAGTTACCGATCCAATATTTCTTTGATTAGTAAACCGTTTTGATCTCACGTCAAACACTTTTCTTTTTCCCCAACAAAGGAATAAATTTTCCTTAAGACTCAAATGTTACCACATCGAGCAAAAAATCATTGACAGTCAAATATTTTGCCTCATTAGGCGAATAAGGTCAAGCAACAATTTGATTTCCTGAGTGAAGGTTTGGCATCCGCGGCGAAGCGGCTGTGACTAAAATTTTAGTGTGAAAAGACCTTTCTCTGTTCTGAATTAAGCATTATATCATCGCGGTCTTATTTCCTTAACCTTATTCTTCATACGAGCTCAGTTTTAGCTCTTTACGTGTAAAATTATGACTAGCATTTTGCAAAGACAGTCCCACGGCCGCACTTTCAAAATGAAATTCTAGCCAAATTTCGGTTCGAAAGAGAAAATCATACCTCGAAATCTTTCTTAAGCTCGGGAAACGCTAGAATTTTGTGGATAAAAGTTACATTCATCTAAAATATTCGGTTTCATACGATTTTTTTTTCAGTTTGGGAGTTTGCTTTTTTCACATTTTATTACCAAGATTTTGCGCGCGATTATTGTTTAAGAAGGTCTTCCAAATATTTCGGTAAAAATTCAAAACGTTCCGCAGTAGAATCTTCTATTTAAGGTGCAGCTACTCCATGTCCTCAAACTTACGATCGGACCCATCAGGGTAGCTAACAGTTTCAGAGCAGATGAGACGAAAACGCCACCTCAAACTTTTGAGACGATTAAACCTCCCCTAAGACATCCAAACAGATAAATAGTATTTAGGGCACCTCCAAATTTACCAAAGTTGTCAGGGTCGATCGCTCGTTGAGTGCCCCTTTTTTGTACCATCAGCTGAAGATAATTTATCTCTCTGAATTTGATGCTGACTTCTGTTACTTTATTGTAAAAAATATGCACAGAAAAATAATCTTAAATGATAAACCAAAGAATCAGGAAGAAGATAACAAAGGGAAAATAAAGGTCGGGAAGGGTAGTAAATTCATATTTCACGCAATTTATTTTATTTTGAAGCCCTTTTATTAATTGAGATAACAAAAAGTCGCTCAAACATTGTTGTTATCTTGTAACATGTAATGTAAGCTTCTGAAGCTTGAAACCCTACACTTTCAAAAGAGATTTAATGCGAAAAAGTAAACCCCTGGCTCTAATAATCAAAATTTACTTCAGTTTGCTTACTGATTACCCCCGAAATATTACTCTGTTCATGGTTATCTTTGAAAGTGAAACAAAAACTGTGGCTCTGCTGTTATTAAGCCTGTGGGGGAGGTACTTCTTCCACGTATATCCGGGATACTGAGTTCCAGCCTGTGTAAGCATCAGCAGATCCGAAACTAGCACAATTGCCGACCCAGAATCCCACGCGAACAGTACCCTTGTGGATTTTCTCACAGACTCCTTCTATGTGACGTACACGGTGTAAGTCCTTTTTCGCACCACTTCCATGTACCATGTAGACTACACCGTCAATGGCACCTGGTGTTGAACACTCAGCACCGTTGAAAGTGAAATACCATCGCCTGCAGCAATGATGGCAGTTGTAGAGACGAAGACTGCCACTCCAAAAGACGCGCAACCCAGTAGAGTCTGATGCTTTCTTAAAAACGCACTCCTTAAAAATCAACAAAGGAAGAAAGATCAGCGAGGTGAACAGAAATTCTTTTCCGTTTTTCATGAGTACGCAATGTATTGTGGGATAGCCTGAAGGTAAACATTTCAAGAATGTCTCGCTCGAATTTATCACATTCCACTGCTCAAACTGTTTTTTTTACCGGTAAAAACGATGCGGAATAACAGCAAGACAGACAGGAACAAATCTGCACAAAACAAACTTAAGTCAGACGAAGCTGCATATGGCTTTTAATTATAACAGAAAATCTTTAAAAAAAATCTTAGCAATTTCTCACGTATACACGTGCATATTTGCGTAAAGGGCGCTACGAACCTGCAAAAAACGTACGTATATCTTAGGGCCTGTTTACATGGAGTGGGGGACCCCGGTCTAGTGGGGTTGGTTTCTTTTGTTTTCACGCTCTGGAGGACACAAAACAAAAGAAACCTACCCCACTAGACCGGGGTCCCCCACTTCATGTAAACAGGGTCTTAAACTCATAAATTGGACCTTTTCCCTGCATTTTGTATTATTCTATGGATAGCTCGCACAAGTTCCGAAACACGCATTTTTCTTTTCTCAAATGACTCGCCTGGAGTTTTTAAACCTGAAAATACACGACTGCGAGTTTTTTGAACGACTTCAAAATCACTGATATAGATCTACTCACTCTTGCACTGATATTTAGATTTGGGGTTATTTTGGTCTAAAAAAATTGGACGTTTACAAAGTTTAGCCATGTCTTTATCAGATATAAAGTCTCTCATTAAACGTTTAAAATTTCTTTTCTTTTTTCTTTTTGAAGTATTAATGAGTTTTTAAATCGGTCATAACCAGACTTACTAATTTGCTTCGGATTAATTTATATAATCTAGAACGACCAACTCAGTTGTTACCTTTATCAATCCGGAGTCCCTTCCATCGTTCAGATTCTTAAAAACGCATTGTTTCCAGTTACGAGCAAACGATCCTGGAGCACCCTTTGGACCTGGAGGACCTTGGCTTCCCCGAGCACCTGTATCACCCTTGTTTCCAGGGGAACCAGCTGAACCTGAGGGTCCTTGAGGTCCCTTGGGGCCAGGGGGACCTTGCTTTCCACGAGCACCTGTATCACCCTTGTTTCCAGGGGAACCAGCTGAACCTGCTTCACCTTTGTCCCCACGTGGACCTGCCGGGCCTGCAGGTCCTTTAACTCCTTTGATGCCTGGTGGTCCCTGTCTTCCACGAGCTCCTTCATCACCTTTGTTTCCTCGTGGGCCCATGGGTCCTTCAGGTCCATGATTAGCGGGTGATCCCGCGACACCTGCTGGTCCCGCGGGTCCAGGGCTTCCTGGGATGCCTGGAATTCCTGGTGCACAGAAACACCCACCATGACCACAGGAACCATAAGATGATGTCTGTTGAGGAATACTCTAAATGAAAAATTTAAAAATTCATGCCGTTATAAATTCATGATCACTCGATTAAGTCAATAAATTAACCTTAGTCAAGCATCCTTAAATAAAAAATCACCGTTCATTCATTCATTCATTCATTCATTCAGGTTAATAGTTCAGGTACCATTGACTGACTTTTACTTTTCATATATTACAGCTATATATTACAATGTTTGATTAAACAAACTCACCTTGTCACGTGGTTTGCTGCTATTGTTGTCATTTGCAGAACACAAGGTAATCAGCAGTAAGAGCAGGCTGCATAACACAGTAGCCAGCGGTATCTTCATAAAGGTTTGCATGATGAGGAAACCTGTGAAAACAGGAAAACGCTTAAAATTATGGCCGAATATCTTTAAAAAGACATCGGTTTCAATGATTTGCTAAAAAAAAAAAAATTCAAACTGCAGATAACAAGCAACGCGAATTGATGATCTGTGGCGAAGTTACTATTTGTTTTGGACAAAAAAGATCAGTTTCATCAGGTTTCATGCATCGATTTCAGGTCAGCTTTTAGCATTACTTGAAAACATTACCATGTCCTTGCAATTATATATGGGCTTACACGGACGCTTAAAACTTTTGGACATTTCGTTGAAGCGTTCGCTTAAGATTTAAGCCCAACAAAACAAGGCTATTAGCAGTAAGCTTTACATTTAAATATTTCGTGAAAAGAAACAGTTCAGATTGAAACCACGTGAAAAGAACTCCAAGCTATCGTTTAATTAAACTGAGTATATTAGTTTGATATGAAAGATTGTTGGAAACATTGACTCAAGTCCTACCTTGCTTGTATGAACGACTGTAGTGATCCGAAGAGGACTAATAATTTTTTTGAAAGTGCGAAGGTTTTTATGCCCTAGTTTGACCAATTTTACGTAAAAACGTGTTTTGGACAAGTTTGAAAGATTGTTAAATGTAAGTTACTAGAAGTATTCCTATAGGTTACATGTAAATCAGCCAGTCTTAATTGACCAATTGAAAGGAGGAGTCATGTACTCCTTTCGTTTTATTTAAGTTGCAAGTTAAAACGAGTTGGAAGGCTTCATGACGTTAAGCAATTATTTTGAAAACCGGCCAATGATAAGAACTGTTTAAAACTTCCTTTGAGATACAAGTTAAACCAAGTTTGAAGGGCACTGAAGTGTTAATGTGACGAATGAAGACAATCATTCATGTTGTCTGCACATGTAATTCTAGGAAAATTTTGCATGCGACACATTTGCCATATTCAAAATATTTATCAGTGTAACTTTTCCAAAGACGCTTGAGAGGTTATTCAGCAAAAACCAGCGACTAAGAAACCGCATTTCCCAAGTTAGCCTAAACAGGTTTTTACATAAATGATAATTCGCACAAATTTAGGCCATTTCGGTTCTTAAATAGGTTCTTCTGATTTTCTGAAAGAAAAAATACATTGTAGCTAAGAGTATTTAGTTGTATTCAGCTTATTCCTTACATAAAACCACTGCATAGCAGTTGGATGTCTCCAAACGGGACTCCTGAATGTTGACTTTTTTATTTTCCAAGTGTTCAAGATGTTTTTAAAACACTATTTTTCAATAAGAACCTAGCTGTTTCAAATTTTAGGCTAAACAGGTTCTTGCCTTACTGGCCCAGGCTGTGAACTTCCTGAACGATATCCTCATTTCTTTCTCTTTTTATTTTTAATCTTACCTCTGACAATTTTGACTCCTTGAATTGAAGTAGCTCAGTCAATTCTGAAGAATGCCCATTAGATTTTTGGCACAACTAAAAAGAACTACTGCAGCGCTTTTTTTGGTAGACTGAGTTCACATCATGTCTTGACTGATTAACATGCACGGTTGTTAGCTTGAAAACGTATGAAAAAGCCCAAAAAAAGTTCTCCCTAAAGTGTGCAAGCACTGTTCAAGTGAAAAATTTTTAACAGAATTCACTCTCGAGAGTAAAGCTACTACAACGAGAGGCTAACTTATTATCAGACCACGAGAGGCTTAGTTTTGGGAGGATTAATCAGTCTGAAATATTCACCTTTTGACGAGTTTATTTCTAAATCATTTTCTAAAAAAGTCGACGGAGATGTTTTTCAAAACCTCACACCAACACGGTTTATTATGAGGCATTCAACTTACCTCTAAGATTTCCAGTTGCCCCACAGTTGTGACTGCAAAGTAAGAGAAAATGGGAAAATTGTGATTAATACGTAAAATGTAACTTTTAAAGAATCCACGGCTAAGTAAAAATATACAAACCTACTCTGTTTTTGTTTTTAAGTCTTAATCCTTGTCTTGTGTTCGTTTTCCCAACTATTTTGTGATATTCATGAATCATCATTTTATGCTCGTAGGAACAGGTTAAGAGGACATTGTACCTATGTTCCAACGAGCAATGCTATTGGCTGTAGTGTTTTTTTTTGTCGGTCAGTGATTCATCCAATCCAATAAAATGGCATCTTTTACTGCAAGCCACATCATACATGAAGGGTAATCATGGATCTATTACCTCGGACTTGGAAAAAAGAGAAGAAAACTTGAGTCCCTGTTTTTGTAATATTTAGTTTCATAATTAACACTGATACTGCACTCTCGTGGTCTCTTTACGACCGGAGGACCAATTTCATAGGAGATTATTAAATTTAAAATCTTTCTGAATTTTCATATGGCGTCAACAATCCAGAATTGGTTTGAGTCTCAAATTAATGGGTGAAAACACTTTTCATACTGACTATGTGAAAACGAAATGAAAGATGCGAAAGTCGTGGAACTTCTAAGACTTCTAAATCTTATTACACGTTCGCTCCTACTCAAGATCTGCTTCATAAGTCACACGTAACCCGAAATCTCTCTTTAACAACCCATCCACTGAAGATTTTTCGTGCTCGATGATATATATTTGCTGTCCTTTTTTTTGGACGATTTTTCTTTTAATATTTCTTCAGATTCTGACCCGTTTATTTTTCGTCTTACTTGGTTACGTACCTCTTCTTGGTTAAGAACGCAAATGTATTGGGATGAAAATACGAAAATGGATAGATTTTATGACGCGTGGCTCTTTTGTATCGATCGATCACTTTAATTTCTAGATCTGATCAGAGATTCTCTGTCGGTATACGTCGAGTTTTGGAAACTGGGTTATATTTAATAGTTCAGTGTTTAACGACACTTTTCAGTATTTCATTTCTACTTTATCTTTGCTTGGACACGTGATCAACTCAGTCTTGATTGATAGGTGCTATGAAATTGTACATTTTTGTATTCCGAAGTTTAAAATTGAAATTGTAAAATCGAAATGATATTGAAAGCGGAATCAAGAACTGATGCGAATGTGGTTTCTCACGGGCACCCAAAGGACGGTTTCCTCTTAAATACATTGATAACACTTTTTAGGCAATCCAGAGTACTTTTAGATGTCTAGAAATGATTTCTAAGTGGCGCTATAAAATTTGAATTTGTTCGGTCACCCTAGGGGAACTTGTGTGTTTTCGAAATTACAGGGGATTAAGTATTAATTACCCGAAAATCTTAGATACAGTTAAACGTATTATGAAAGTGAGACATCTTCTGATTTCTCAAGCTCCCCTTTGAATTTTTGAGTCCGAAAATTTTAGGTCTCCTTTCCTCCACGACGAAAAATGGCATAACTTGGGAAGTGTAATGTGAAAATTAAACTTAAGAAAATCGTAGGGAATTTATTAGATAAGTTTATATATCAGTGGGACGGTCATCTAGAAAGTGTTAGCCGTCCTCAAGTAATAGAAAATTCTAGGCAATATTTGCTTCTCCGAACAGACTGAATTCACAGAAAACTGTCGACAGGTGCTCCTGGTTTCTATGCGATTGCAATGAGAAATTTGTAGTAAAACTAAAACAGAACCGACATTTTATATTAGCCTCCGTCGAAGTTTTAACATGATAAAACTATTGAATACATACCTTCCAGCAATCCATTTATCAAGGTTTCGTCTTCTAGGAGACAATTTATGGGTCAACCGTGAGCTCTTCACAACTGAGAGACGACAAGGAATTAGTCTATGATGCAACTTCTTGTTGAGCGAAACAAGGATTCTTTCAAGCCATCTTGCTTTACTGTTGTTCAGAGCGATCGGTAAAGTACAATAGCATGACGATTCTCGAACTCTCGGTGTCTTGAAATTCCCCATATTTTGAAGCAAACCTAGCTTCCTTTCACCAGCCAAACACTGTTTACCACCGATCTTCAAAATGCCGATAACTGGAATAGTCTAGAACTAAACTGGCTTTCCCATGCAAAGTGGTTTGAAAAATCGCGATTCCAGTGTAGAGCAATTTCCACTTTGTTTTCTTTGCATCTATAAATAAAAAAAGAGCTTCCAGAAGAGTAATTGGGCTAGGGAAGGGAGGGTTGGGCGGTGAGAAGCAAAGGTGAGGTAACGGGTGGGGAGGGTGATGAGGGAATTTTTTTTCTTTGTTCGATTTCTGTTTTATAGAAGCTTTATTATATAATGAAGAATGCCATTTTGCGAGAAGTCCAAGTTTTACGACTACGGCTGAACTGGATTGTACATAGTTTATTTGGATTATTCAATATGTGTTTTCTTTTTCTGACGCCAGTGAAATGCGCTCTTCTACGCATTCACTCATCAGTTGCCGCAACTTTGTTTTCTGTTAGGGCGAAACACAAGTTCAAGAAACTTAATAACTACACTGACAATTTCAAACAGGACCCTTTGTTAAACTTTAGACCAGCCAGAATGCTTGTGTAATAAATTGCCGTCTCTGTTGCCTGTCATGAGTGTTTTAGTGTGTCTATAGTATTCTCAACGTAAACATGGCGATTTCTTCACTTACAGCCGTCTAAAAAATTCCGCAAAACGCGATGCTGTGTTCAGTCTTGCTCTTTACTGAGTTTTGAAAATATCATCCTCTGAGATAGTCACGGATACAAGGCATAACATGAATGAGTAGGTAGTTGAGCCTGGCTTTGTACAAAGTTTTCGCATTTTACTAAAACATTTACTCAAAAAATCGGATGCGGAAATCATTGTCATGGTCTGTTTGTTTGAAAATTGAGCGTGTTGCTTGTTTACTTTGAAGTACTGATGTAAAATTTGCATTCTAGTAACATACACTGTAGGCAATACGTTGCATAATAAATAGCACCTTTCNGCGGAAATCATTGTCATGGTCTGTTTGTTTGAAAATTGAGCGTGTTGCTTGTTTACTTTGAAGTACTGATGTAAAATTTGCATTCTAGTAACATACACTGTAGGCAATACGTTGCATAATAAATAGCACCTTTCGACTACGTTTTCTTGAAAAATGAAACTGTCTTGGCGGAAATATTTCTCTTGCCTACAGGATGTCTGCTTCTATCTTTGATACTAAACCGTGGACCTCTGTTA